AGTAGAGAGGGGGTTTCACCGTGTTAGCCAGGATGGTCTTGATCTCCTGACCTCGTGATCCGCCCGTCTCGGCCTCCCAAAGTGCTGGGATTACAGGCTTGAGCCACCGCGCCCGGCCGAATGTGATTTTTTAAAAAAGATTCATGGGGCCAGGGGCGGTGGCTCACGCCTGTAATCCCAGCACTTTGGGATGCTGAGGAGGGTGAATTAGGAGGTCAGGAGTTCGAGACCAGCCCGACCAATGTGCTGAAACCCATCTCTACTAAAAATATAAAAAATCAGCCAGGCATGGTGGCGTGTGCCTGTAATCCCAGCTACTCAGGAGGCTGAGGCAGAAGCATAGCTTGAACCAGAGTGGTGGAGGTTGCATGCCATTGCACTCTAGCCTGAGCAACAGAGCGAGACTCCATCTCAAATAAAAAAAAAAAAAAGAGGCCAGGCGCAGTGGCTCATTGTGTAATCCCAGCACTTTGGGAGACCAAAGTGGGCCTGGGCCTAGGAGTTCCAGACCAGCCTGGGCAGCATAGTGAGACTCCCTTCCTCATCTCCCCCGCCCCAACCATCTCTACAAAAAAATTAAAAGCCAGGAGTGCTGTTGCATGCCTGTAGATGCAGTTACTCAGAAGCTGAGGTAGGAGGATCCCTTGGGCCTGTGAGTTCCAGGCTGCAGTGAGTTGAGATCACACTCCAGCCTGGATGGGGGAGACAGACCCTGTCTCAAAAACAAACAAACAAAAACCCACGCCACTGTGTCCTAGAATTATTCTGTCTGGTTACATACCATGGAAGGTTGTTTACTGTTGCTTTTGGCATTGTTTTTTAATTGTTTTGTAGAGATGGGGGTCTTATCATGTTACCCAGGCTGCTTTTGAACTGGACTCAAGCAATCCTCCCGCTTGGCCTCCCAACTGCTGGGATGGCAAGTGTGAGCCACCGGGCTCAGTCTATTGTATTTTTATGTACAAATATCCTTATTCCTTCTTTAGAAAAGCAGCCCCCGGGCCGGGGGGGGTGGCTCACACCTGTAATCCCAGCACTTTGGGAGGCTGAGTCGGGCGGATCACGTGAGGTCGGGAGTTCAAGACCAGCCTGACCAACATGGAAAAACCCTGTCTCTACTGAAAATACAAAATTAGCTGGGTGTGGTGGCACATGCCTGTAATCCCAGCTACTCGAGAGGCTGAGACAGGAGAATCACTTGAACCCAGGAGGTGGAGGTTGCAATAAAGCCGAGATCACGCCATTGCACTCCAGCCTGGGCAACAAGAGTGAAACTCTGTCTCAAAATAAATAAATAAATAATAATAAATAATACAATTATTTAAAAAATAATACTACAGACAGGGTCTTGCCATGTTGCCCAGGCTGGTCTCGAAGTCCTGAGCTCAAGCCATCCACCCACCTCTGCCTCCTTGAGTGTTGGGATTACAGGCATGAGCCACCTCACCTGGCCATTTCATAATACAATGTAACATTCCTTAGAAAACTTTACCATTACCTAGATTTTACACACCTAAACCATCCATTTAGGTAGTATTTGTACCAGTGGGGCATTCCTACATCACATTATTCCTTTTCCTAGTTTCACTCTTGAAGTTGGTCAGAGCACTGCAATTGTTTAACTATTGCTCTCTCTCTCTAGCCTCTCATCTTTTAGTACTGACAGTTGTCCAGTACTTGGCTAATGAGAAATTAATTTCTTAATACAGTATGAAAGAATTATGAACATGCCTCTTCCTTCCCAGAATGTCCTAACAGCATTCTAGAGGAAACAGAAAATCATGAAATGTGGAAAAAGTAAAGAAAGCTGAATATAGCTGTTTGACTTGACCTACAGTACACACACACACAGCACATACATAGATACATATTAAAGACTAGTATTTGTTAGCATAGGCTACTTATTTATATTAAAAATAGATTATTGGCCTGGCAGAGGGGGAAGCTGGGGTCCAGGAGGCGGAGTCCGAGGTCTGCCCACTTCTCGCCCTGCCTTAAAAAAAAAAAAAAGATTAATGTGCAAAAGGTTTAAATTTGTTTTTCCTTTCTTGTTTTAACATTTTCACATTCAAGCTCAAGTGATGATAATAATGATGATAATGACTTAAAAGTGAAACTGAAATGGTGAGAGAAGTAAGATTAAAAAGGGAACTTTTTCTTTAATATTTATCTGGAAATACCAAATGTAGAAAATGCGGATACATTTTGAAGACTGCTGTAAAAGGCTTATGAATTACTCCGCTTTCCTAAACTAATAATACTGTTAAAATTTAACAGTAGTAACATGTTAATAACTAATAATTCATATTAGGAAATATTACAATATTTGAATTAAGTACTTTTCATATTCAAACCATCTGAGAATGTAATCTAAATTTAACACAGATTTCCAGAGGCAGAAACTTATGTGGGTGAATGTGAATTCAAAAAGAATTAGCAGGAATGAAAGTTCTCTGCACAGTAAAATCTCCCTGATTTGGATTGACATTTAGTGAAAAGAATTGGTTGCCTGTTCTTAGAGAAAGAGTGTTCAGTAGAAAGTAGAATAGTCTGTGGAAATAGTATACAGTACTATGATTTTTTCATGGTAACCAGATTAACAAAGCCTGGCCTTATACTGACCCTGCTTTCATAGGGATAAATAGTATGTAATTAGTTTACTGAACACCTGTCTCCAAGACAGGCATGTCTGTGAATCAGGATTTGAAAGCAATTGGTTATAAATTTTAAAACTGCTTCTGTTTACTATTACTTGCTTAGAAATTTCTTTAGTACAGCTATAGACTTTTTGTTTTGTTGGTAGAGATGGGGGTCTAGTTCTGTTGCCCAGGTTGGTCTCAAAGTCCTGGCCTCAAGCAATCCTCCCACCTCAGCCTCCCAAAGTGCTGGGATTACCGGATTACCGGCATGAGCCACGAAGCCCGACCTAGACTTTGTATTCAGAGTCAAAAAAAGTTTATTGAGGTTTATTAGGAATTATACAGCATAATATGCACTGTCTTTCAAGTAGTTATCTATGCTTGGTTCAACAGTAATTTTCTTTTTTTTTTGAGTCAGAGTTTTGCTCTTTTTTTTTTTTGAGACGGAGTTTTGCTCTCGTTGCCCAGGCTGGAGTACAATGACGTGATCTCGGCTCACTGCAACCTCTGCCTCCTGGTTCAAGCAGTTCTCCTGTCTCAGTCTCCCAAGTAGCTGGGATTACAGGCATGCGCCACCACGCCCAGCTAATTTTGTATTTTTAGTAGAGACAGGGTTCCTCCATGTTGGTCAGGCTGGTCTCGAACTCCTGACCTCAGGTGATCCACCAGCCTCAGCCTCCCAAAGTGCTGGGATTACAGGCGTGAGCCACTGCGCCTGGCCTCAACAGTAATTTTCATAGCTTCTTAACAGAAGAAATAAGGCTGTACAGAATTTATGTTCTATCTTTCAGTGACTATATAATTTTTTTTTTCTTTTTGAGACGGAGTCTTGCTCTGTCGCCCAGACTGGAGTGCAGTGGCACAATCTCAGCTCACTGCAACCTCCGCCTCCCGGGTTCAAGCAATTCTGCCGCCTCAGCCTCCCGAGTAGCTGGGACTACAGGCAAACGCCGCCACGCCAGGCTAATTTTTTGTATTTTAGTAGGGACGGGGTTTTACTGTGCTGCCCAGGCTGGTCTCAAACTCCTGAGCTCAGGCAATCCGCCCGCCTCGGCCTCCCAAAGTGTTGGGATGACAGGCGTGAGCCACTGCGCCCGGCCCCTATATAGTCTTTATAATTCTTGTTTAATTCTTTTTTTTTTTTTTTTTTTTTTTTTTTTTGAGACGGAGTCTCGCTGTCTCCCAGGCTGGAGTGCAGTGGCCGGATCTCAGCTCACTGCAAGCTCCGCCTCCCGGGTTCACGCCATTCTCCCGCCTCAGCCTCCCGAGTAGCTGGGACTACAGGCGCCCACCACCTCGCCCAGCTAGTTTTTTGTATTTCTTAGTAGAGACGGGGTTTCACCATGTTAGCTAGGATGATCTCGATCTCCTGACCTCGTGATCCGCCCGTCTCGGCCTCCCAAAGTGCTGGGATTACAGGCTTGAGCCACCGCGCCCGGCCTATTGTTTAATTCTTTTGAGAAGAACCTTGTTAAGACAAACATCACCAAGACTAAGTGAGAACACATATACTCTACAGAGCTTCTATTTCCTTCCTAGAGATTTTCCTGAGACAGACTAATTCTCTCTATAACTTAACCTATTTAAAAAATATGCAGAAAATCATAGCATGACCTGGAGAGAATCCATGCTTTATTCACCAACTAGGCCTCCTTTCCCTGTACTTTACATTCCACACCTATACACACCAAATGAAGTTGCTGAAGATGAAAAAGATAAAAATGCAAATACCTAAAGATGTCCTTTTTTATGTACATTTCCAACTTTTGTGTATTCCAAGAATTTACGATGTAATGTCTATGTTTCTAGCAAAAAAGAACTATTTCTCTATTTGTAGTTGGTGTCTAGAGCAATTCTAATGTAAAGAAGTTTTGCATTTATTTGGTACTATTGAGTGGCTGAGCCGCAAGGCTGCTATTTCCACTGAGTGGAGATACAAAAAGATGACTTATGAGTCCCAGTCCTCAGGATCTGAGTATTGGTGGATCACACGTGTTACAAAACGAAAGCATTAGGAAGTGCAAATCAGTTACTTTGAGCTTCAGATGCAAATAATTTCCAAATTGTCACTGCCCAAAATGCTTTAAACATTCAGGGTTTTGTCACAATTTCAATATAACGGGGGGGGGGGCGGGACCCCACAGCTCTATTCCTTTGTCTTTCAGACTCCAAGAACTCAGACCGTGGTGGTGACAAACTGGTGACTGACTGGTTGAGAAGAAGTTGGAGGGGGCGTGCAGGGCAGGAGGCTTTACCACCAGTCCCTGGGTGCGTCATCCTTCCTAAAGCCTATGGTGTAAAAACCACCACTCAGAATGGCGGGGCTCATGGACTTTTCACCAGGGCCAAACCTTCGATTACCTCTGATGAGCCCCAAAGATCACAGAGTAGCTGACTAGGCCAGGTCCCCCAAACGGAAAGGTGCGACGGCTGCAACATCAGCGGTTAAATGGTACAGCCTTTCATAGGCCGGTCTAATGCATCCGTACTAAGATTGTTAAGGCTGAGGGTCCCTAGACTGGGGAAAACGAATGGAGGCAGGGGGTAGGGATACGGGAAGGAAGACAAGGAGGGTGTAGAAAAGGGGGAGAGGAGGGGGCGGGACAGCATGGGGAAGGTCTCAGGTTTACGGGCGAGATCGTGGCGTTCCCATGGAAACGTATCCCTCCGCCCATGACCCGCGTGTTCGTTTCTTCAGTTCCTTCCGCGTCGTTTCTCGCTGTTTCCGCCCAGCTCCTTTGTGCCGCGCAGAACAACGGGATGACGCATGCGCAGAGTCCAGCGGCCGCATATATAAATGCGAACCCGGGCTCTTCCTCGTAGTGCCGCCGGGACTGTTGGCGGGTGTGGGTTTGTGTCAGCTTTTGCGTCACTCGAGCCCTGGGCGCTGCGAGCTGAAGAGCCGAGCACGCGGGTCGGTCATCATGTCGCGTTACGGGCGGTACGGAGGAGGTAAGAGGCTGGAGTCCGGTGAGGGACGTTGCTGTGGGTGTAGTGAGCACTGCGAGGCCGTAGGGTTGGCGCGGCGGTTGGGAGACGGTTATTCCGCGTGCGTAATGGCGGCTTCGGCGCACGCCATACGAAGCCGGAGGCAGCGGGGGCGGGGTGGTGAAGGGAGACGGAGGATGGCGGGTGTACCTCTCTGCCGAGTTCCGTACTCTCGGGCATTTTTGTGGCCCAATCCAGCCTGAAGCAGGGTTGAGATCACGGTTTTCGCGTTGCCTTTCTCGGAGCCGCCCGGCGGCCCCCCCTCCCCCCGCCCTCGGCGGCGGCTGCCATTTTGCGCACATTGACGACCGTGGTGGCGCATTTCCTCAGCGCTTTCCCGCCACTTCAGCGGACAGATGTGGCCGCAGCCGTAAGATCGTGGTTGTGTTTGAGAAGGAACGAAATTGACAGCTGTGAGCTGCGTGTTCTCGTCAAACAATCGGTTAAATTGCGGAATGGGAATGGGGACGTAATCTGCGACTGGCGGCTGGTTTCTTTTTCTCTTTTAGTTCTTTCGAGCACGGTTTATGGCTCTGGGGCGGGGAGCTGGAGTCTTGGGCGAGCCTGTGCCTGGGGCGGTTGCCGCGGAGGAAGAGAGCTGGTGCAGCCCTGCTCTCCCTGCCCGGCCCCTACTGAGGCCCTCCCGCCGCCGACGCCGCTGCCGCTGCGGGCCCGCGCGCTCCCCGTGCGCCCGGGGCTGCCGGGACTCATGGGCGGGGCCGGGCCGGATCCCGCCCCACGCCTCGGTGTATCCTACCACGCATCTCTGTGTTCGGGAGGGTCACTTCGCATTATTTAGAACGTTAAGAACTTTGTCAAAAGTCTAGTTTTTCAGGGATTTGCGGACTTTCACCAGTTTTAGGACTAAGTTCAATCTTGGATAGAGGGCATTTAATGTGCTTTACCCTATCTTGAGGATGGCCCGTTTTAAGGCAAATAATTGATTGAAATTTGGGCCAGGTTTTGCATAACGTGCATTCTTCTATTTGCGTTTTTAAACAGAAACCAAGGTGTATGTTGGTAACCTGGGAACTGGCGCTGGCAAAGGAGAGTTAGAAAGGGCTTTCAGTTATTATGGTCCTTTAAGAACTGTATGGATTGCGAGAAATCCTCCAGGATTTGCCTTTGTGGAATTCGAAGATCCTAGAGATGCAGAAGATGCAGTACGAGGACTGGATGGGAAGTAAGTAAGATGTTATGAAACTTCTGTTCATTAAAATATACTGTGGCTAGATAATAAACTTAGTGCTAAGCTTGGATACTGAAGTCTGGAAGAGACCTTAAATAGCTAGTCAGAGTGTTACTTGCTAAAGGCACACGAAGGTTAAAGAAGATAGCGGAGATGGATTTAGGGCTTAGTAAAGACCGCCAAAGTTTGTGAGGGGGAAGGAGTGGTTGGAAAGAGTTCTTTTTAAATCTAGAAGTCCTGAATATATTTTTAACTTTAGAATTTTGTTAATTTACTTTTATTAGAGTGATTTGTGGCTCCCGAGTGAGGGTTGAACTATCGACAGGCATGCCTCGGAGATCACGTTTTGATAGACCACCTGCCCGACGTCCCTTTGATCCAAATGATAGATGCTATGAGTGTGGCGAAAAGGGACATTATGCCTATGATTGTCATCGTTACAGCCGGCGAAGAAGAAGCAGGTATTTATTTTAATAAAGGAATGGTTGGTATTCTAGTTAATCAAGTAATTCTTTTATTAGCAAGGCAGAAACTAGTGTTTTTCTATAAACTTGAATGTTAATTGTACAGGTGTATTTTACAATTTTTGTTTAATTAAAAAATGTTACTATATTAATAATCAACCTGGTCAAAACCTTTCAGGTTTCTTCGTTTGAGTCAGTCGCCTTGATTCAGAATGTCACGAGCCTTATGATATCATGCTGAGGCGCCTTGCAAATCCGACAATTAAGATCCTCCTAGACCTTGAGGTGATCAGCATAAGAGGCCAGATCCCCTCGAGTCATCTACACCTAGCTTCACCTTATTCTTTAAAGGGCAGAAAATTTGAGACGGTGATCGCCGTAACAGTAAATTTGGCTTACAATTGGGGCCCCCCTCCGGTTTAGAAAGAGGAACACCAGATTGACCACATTCCCAACTAGAAAAATCTTCTTGCGTCAATCAAGCCTCACCTGGCTCATTTGGCTGTCAGTTTGATCGTCGTTAGATTGAAGAAAACATCTAGATGCAGCGATCGGCTATAGATACTTCTAGATCGTCTAGATCTACTAGACCATGGGCCAAAGAGGGTCGACCTGCAAACTTGCAAGGTTTATTTTAAATACACATTACAGTGTTTTATATTATGTAATTCTAAGTTGTAATTCAGCTTTTAACAAATCTTTTTTTAGGTAGTAAAAAAAAAAAAAAAATACTCAACAACTGATAGGCCCAGAGTTTATTTCCAAATGAGACTCTAAATTTAAATAGTTTTGAGATTTGATTTCAGCAGAGGCACACAAACTCTTAAAAACGAGTTATTGTCTGACATTTTGTTTTTTCTCTAACTTGAAAAATAGGTCACGGTCTAGATCACATTCTCGATCCAGAGGAAGGCGATACTCTCGCTCACGCAGCAGGAGCAGGGGACGGAGGTGAGATCTTGTTTAATTGAAGTCTTTCTGTATTATTATTATTAAATTCACTGATAGTCCAATACAGAAAGAAAAAGCTCACTAATTTTTTGGAGACAGGGTCTTGCTCTGTCACCCAGGCTAGAGTACAGTGGCATAATCACGACTCACTGCAGCCTTGACATCTTGGATTTAAGCAGTCCTCCTGCCTCAGCCTCCTGAGTAACTGGGATTGTAGGCACTGCCACCATACCCAGCTAGTTTTTCTTTTTGTAGAAATGGTCTTGCACTGTTTCCCAGGCTGGTCTCAAGCTCCTGGGCTTGAGACCAGTGCTGGGATTACAGGTATAAGCCATTGCACCGTTCCCCAATTGAAGTCTTAACAGGCCAAAAAAAAAATGTGGAGATGGACTTAAAGTTCTTTATTTTAGGTCAAGGTCAGCATCTCCTCGACGATCAAGATCTATCTCTCTTCGTAGATCAAGATCAGCTTCACTCAGAAGATCTAGGTCTGGTTCTATAAAAGGATCGAGGTATTTCCAGTATGTAACACTTTCTTTTCTTACTTGTGTTTGGGTTGTTCACATCTTCACAGCAGTAGAGTGTCTTAAAGACATAATTCAAATGGATTGTTGCAGGGAATATTTGAGATGTAAAAGTTTGGAATTGATACGTAACTTGTAACATAAATATTAATCTAGTTTTACAGATGAAGAAAAGGGCTACTAGAGATTTTAAGGCTTGTTAGAGAGGCCATGGTGGTAGAGAAAGGTCCAAAGCAACACAATTTTAGTGAACACGCTGGATAGGCATATTGCTATAAACTTGTGGCTTCAGATTAGATGATACTAGCTCTGAAAGATGGTAATTGATTTTCCCGACAAAAAGGCCTGTTAGAACCAGGAAAAGAGATTAGAAGCAAGTAGAAACATTTCTCATTTTTGGAATGATGGTGTTGATTGGAGACACTGGAAAGTTGGGGCAGTAGTGTGTACATACAAATGAATGTGGATTTTTTTTTTTGGACAGAGACCTGAAAAAACAAACTTAAGAACCAGAGCTTTACTCTTTGTAGGCGGCCTTAAAAGGAGATAGAGTGGAAAAAATTGTAAAATGAGTATTGTAATATGTAATTAATAATATTCCAATATTGTGAGACAGAGCCTCGCTCTGTTGCCCAGGCTGGAGTGCAGTGGTGCAATCTCTGCTCACTGCAAGCTCCATCTCCTGAGTTCACACCACTTTCCTGCCTCAGCCTCCCTGGTAGCTGGGACTACAGGCGCCTACTACCACGCCCAGCTAATTTTTTGTATTTTTAGTAGAGACGGGGTTTCACCGTGTTAGCCAGGATGGTCTTGATCGCCTGACTTGTGATCTGTCCGCCTCAGCCTCCCAAAGTGCTGGGATTACAGGCTTGAGCCACCGCGCCTGGCCCAACAATATTATCTGTATCAATGATAAAACAGTGGTACAGAATGCTACTGGGAGTTAAATTGCTGTTTAGTAGCACAAAACCTTTAAATGCAGGAACTCTGAATCTTGTGGTCTATTTGAGAAAGCTATGGACTATCTCATTAGATATATTTAAAAGATAGATATGTCCGATTTGGTTTGTCTGACAAATTGATGGCTCTCAAACATAACGATCCAGGAATGTAAAGCCTTATTAAGTGGTGGCTTTCTTCTCGTCTGGCCTTATCACCTGAATTAGTCTCAGTTCAGGGGTCTGGTTATTTTCTTTTTTTTTTTTTTGAGATGGAGTCTCTGTGTGTCGCCCAGGCTGGAGTGCAGGGGCGCAATCTTGGCTTACTGCAAGCTCCGCCTCCTGAGTTCATGCCATTCTCCTGCCTCAGCCTCCCCAGCAGCTGGGACTACAGGTGCACAACGCCATGCCCAGCTAATTTTTGTATTTTTAGTAGAGACGGGGTTTCACCATGTTAGCCAGGATGGTCTCTATCTCCTGACCTTGTGATCCACGTGCCTTGGCCTCCCAGAGTGCTGGGATTACAGGCGTGAACCACCACACCAGCTGGGGTCTGGTTATTTTCATCCTGCCTTAGCCTCCTGAGTAGCTGGGACTACCATTGTGCACCACAGTGCCCAGCTGAGGAATCTGTGCCTTAAGTGAGGTTAGTTTTGCTTCCTTCATACCAGTCTTATCAAATGAAAACCATGTGTTTCCCTTGGATGTTACACAGTGTTTGAGAATATTCCTGTACGGGAACTGTAACC